TTGGTTTTGATTATTCACCCATTTGGAGGATGAATAAAACAATAATTGATGATGCATGGCTACTTGAAGACTGAGGCCATGGGTTATGTTCATGAATCGCTACATGACATCTTAGGTGATAAGCTATTATTTGGTTTTTGAGCATCACTGCATGAAGTCTTAGGCGATGGTCTGTGTTGCGGAATAAAGAAACGCACTGCTGCATGAAGTCTAAGGAAATGGGTTAGGTTCGCAAATCGCTGCGTGAAGGTTTAGGAAATAAGCTTAAATTTTGGTTTTCGAGCATCGCGGCATGAAGTCTTAGGCGATGTTCTGTATTACGGAACAAGAAACCGCAATGCTGCATGAAGTCTTAGGCAATGGGTTAGGTTCGCAAATCGTTGTGTGATGTATTAGGAGATAGGCTAGATTTTAGTTTTTGAGCATCGCTGCATGAAGTCTTAGGCGATGGCCTGTGTTGCAGAATAAGGAAATGCACAGCTGCATGAAGTCTTAGGCAATGGTCTTTTATTATGGAACAAGGAACCGCACTGATGCACGATGCCTTAGGCAGTGGGTTAGGTTCGTGAATCACTGTGTGATGTCTTAGGAGATAGGCTAGATTTTAGTTTTTGAGCATCGCTGCATGTAGTCTTAGGCAATGGTCTGTGTTGCAGAATAAAGAAACACATTGTTGTACGACATCTTAGGCAATGATCTTTATTACGGAATAAGGAACCACACTGCTGCACAATTTCTTAGGCAGTGGGTTAGATGAGGAGAATACACTGCTGCATGGAGTCTTAGGCAATGTACCGAGTTTCATACATTACTGCGTGGAGACTTAGGTAATTTATTGAACACATCACTACGTGGAGACTTAGGTGATGGGTTGAACGCATCACGACATAGAGACTTAGGTGACGGGTTGAATCGTAGGAGAAGTGTTTTTTTATTGACCCTTGGATAGCTAAATCGAGGGTGAGATTGCTTATTTACTGATTGATATGGAACCCTAAGTATATGCGCATTGAATGTTTGTATTGATTTTGTGTTGCAAGTGCAGACGTAGGTGTAGAAGTGGAAATAGGCGTGGATATGGTCGTAAGCATAGGCGTGGGGATGAATCATAGGTAAGCTTCCTAATGAAATTTTGATAGCGGTACCTTTGATGATTGTGTTTGTTGTCAACCGAGGTAGCTATAGCAAGGAGAATGGATAATGTTGAGCTTAGATTTGAATTTGAGTTTGTCTTAGCTGGTAGTCATGCCTTGAGATTCCTAGATTGGTAGCCTCTAGATGTAGGTGAATTGCACTGAACGTGGTTAATAGTTCTTTGTGTTCCTTTACCTTTTGCCTTTATATTCAAGATAGTTGTTATTTTGGTAAAAGTTCTTTCAGTTAGCAGATGTCATAACATCTTTCTTGATATTATGCTTGTGTGTTGAGACATCAGTCTTGACATTTATGTTGTGTATGTCAAAATTTCAATTGGCATCAGAGCACGCACCCTATTCTGTCTATTGAGTGAGCTCTAGGGAGACTATTTTCTGGTACTATGGACTAGAGAGGAGGATATGTCAACAAACCACCTATGTTGGATTGTGAAAACTATGTCCATTGGAAGGTTAGAATGATAATATTTTTTTTTGAAATTCATGGATAGAAAATCTTGTAAGTTTTTGTAAAGGATGAAATCATCCTATTGTGAAGGACGAAGATGGGAATGAGTCCTTAAAGCAAAAAGATTATTGATCCAAATAAGATGATGAATTAGCTTTTGCAAACTCCAAAGTCTTTAATGCTCTATTCAATAGAGTAGACAAAGATACTCTTAGAAAGATTCAGAGGTGCCTATGGTTTTCATCTGACTATTGATGTCAGTTATGTGTTCCTATGGTATATTTTCCTATCAAACATCATCAACAATGGTGGTTTAAAGTTTTCTGGTACTAGCGCACCCAAAAATTTGTCAGAGTGAGGGTGAGGTTCCAAGAAGGCCCGACCCTGAGGCAGGGCAAACTTAGCCATTTCCCAGAGTCTAAAATAGAGGGGCCCGAAAAAATTATTGGTATTTATATAACCAAGTTCAAACAATGTAAATCATATGCCCAATCAATAATAGATCCAACAAAATAAATGACTATATTTGATGTTGTTAATGTTATTTACAATTTAAATAGATGATGTTCTTTTTTAAAAAAACAATTGTATTTTTTATTAAGGGTCCATTTTTATTATTCACCGAAGGCCTCTAAAAAGTCGAGACCGGCCATGGGTCCAAGACCTCATCTTCGACTTGGATGTCTATCTGACGTTGCTTCTGAAGGGTCAGGACATTCTCCTCCAAAGCTGGGTTGGAACGACACAACTCTTTCATAGTTGGATGCATCTTTGCTAATGCCTCATTGTTGGTGCTGCTAGTTATAGCGACACAATGTCATGTCACCATTTTAAAAAAGTTGATTCAAGAGAGTGAAATTCGAATGTAATAATGGCATGGGTTAGTTTAATCGAGATCTATAGTAGACAAAATTGTACTTGCAAAAATACAATAAAGAAACCTTGCTTACATGGATGATCACAAGAGAGTTTTAGTGTGTTAAATATGTAAAATTTGAATGAATTCTTCCAACCCTCGAGATTGAAATATTTATAGGTCTAACTTATAGGACAAACTGAAATATTTCTTGGGGCGATTGAATAATGGTCCATTTTTTTCTAAAACTCAATTAAACTTATCTCACTCAAATCTAATTCTTTCAAAATTGCCATGATTTGTTTAATTCTTACTTCATCCGGCCTTTTTTATAAGCAAAGATTCTCTTTTTAGGTTCATTGAGTAATGAACGTATCTAGTCTATATAAAAAATAAGATATATTCATTATTCGATGAACTTAAAAAAAGAATATTTACTTATAATAATGGCCAAAAGGAGTATTTATCTATTACTATTTCTCCGTATTTATAAAAGAATTGAACACTGAACCAAATGATTAAAAAATAAAGGCAAATAGATGACACCACATGATTAAATGATTAAACATTGAATATCAAACCAAATTATTAAAAAATATATGTTAAATTTGATTTTAGATGATTTAAAGCAAAAAAAAGAAAATATTATTTTAACAAACTCCTGATTTTTTATAATGTACCTACAATATCAACGTTTATTTTTTAAATTACTAAAATATTTCTAGAACCATATATATATATATATATATATATATATATATATATATATATATATATATATATATATATATATATATATATATATATATATATATATATATATATATATATATATATATATATATATATATATATATATATATATATATATATATATATATATATATATATATATATATATATATATATATATATATATATATATATATATATATATATATATATATATAATTTTATTAAAAATATTTACTAATTATTTTTAATTTATAAAAAGTTAAAGTAGTAAATATTTTTTTTATTCTACACTAATACATAAAGAGGCGTTACTTTTGCTATATTTTATACTTTGGAAATTTACTTATTTTTTCTCTGATTTTTTCTAATTCTGTTGAAAATAAATATAATAAATTTTTTATAAAATATAAACTAAACAAATATATTTCTAATTTTTAAATAAAAATGTAAATGATATAAATAATATTTATCACTAATGTATTTAAAATTATTTTTCTTAAACTTAGGGATGTAAATGGATACCGATGAGGACGGATAGTATGATAACAATATTCTTTCGTTGAATAAATATGATACACATATCCACTGCATATTCGTGTGGGTATCTACTATACGCATAATCCGCGGGTTTTAAGGTATTCACGGATATTTAGAAGTATCCATGAATAACATTTTTTTCTATATATTTAAAAAAATATATTTTCTATTTCTTTTAAAGACACACATATTTATTATCACATAACATTCATACAAATCTCTCTTATTTTAACTACACAATTTTATCACATTAATTTCCTTCATTTTCACCAAAACATAATACCCATACATTTTATTTTTAACAAAAAATGAAAGATATTGTGATTATAAGTTATGGTGAAAGATTAGAAAGGAAGACACTAGTTGGACATGGAAAGTGGAATTGTTAAAATGAGGTATGGAGTAAAAAAAAAGCTTAAATATGAAATGTCCAATATGATTTGTATGAAATATTAAAGGTTTTTTTCAAAGAAAACTTTAAAAAATATATGAAAAGACTAATTTTTTAGAAGAGTAAAAACATAGTATAATAAACTAATATTTAAGTCATTTTTATAATTTATTAACGGATACCTATATCCGCAGACATGAATATTATTAAACTTGTATCCATGAGCATTATTAAACGGATATTTAAATATCTACTTATTTTATCCATAAATATCTATTAAGCTATCCGCCTCATACCTACGATGGATTTTATTCGCGGGCACATATTATTTTACTATCCCTACTTTAAGAGTATCACAATATAAACATGGGCCATCACCAACAGATTCTAAACTCTACAAATAATAGATTTGACACGTGCTTTTGCATACCTACAACTAGAACTTTATTTTGATGCTAAATGAAATACATTTCATGTGGACAAAAAACACAATTTCTCTATGCATACTACATAAGCCAATTTTTAATGCTCTTTTCCGCCTGTTACATTTGAATAACATTAAAAAAAGGTTCATAAAAAAATATTATAAAAAGGGAGAATCACGTTACTTTAGTCATGTAACTGATTTTTTTAGTGTACAATATTAATGTAAGTGATTTATTCATGATGTTATTCATATACTCACGTTTAAATGACCCGCATATTAATTCCAAAATGAAATTTGTTCAACATTCTAACAATTTTTTTTAAACTAAAAAAATTATTCAGTTTTCCTTTAAGCGCAACTTCTGCCCCATATCACTTCTATAAATTTCAACCATTTTCAGAACTAAATTCATCTATATTTCTCATCAATAGCCTTTTGCAATAACTAAAACAATGGCAACAATAACTCCAAACAAAATCATCTCGTTCACAATACTACTTTTCATAACCATCAACATAGCTAATGGTCAAGCTCAACCAAATCAATCAACTTTGGTCTTCTACCTACAAGATGTCGGAAAAGGACCTAAGTAGACCATTTCACCGGTTATAGGCATCAATGGCAAGGTTTGGTCATATAACACATTTGGAACAATATTTGTGGTTGATGATCCTGTTACAATTAGTCTTAGTTCATATTCAACTCAAATTGGAAGGGCTCAAGGTATAATTACCGTAACTTCTCAAGATGGTGCAAATGTGAACATAGTTTTGTCAATTGTGTTCAATAATGCACAATACGCTGATAGCACTTTAGAAATTCAAGGTACAAGTCATCAACGTGATAATTTAAGAGAGCTCGGTGTTGTTTCTGGAACTGGAAGATTTCGATTTGCAAGAGGATTTGCTGTGTTTGAAACTATATCTTATGATCCTACCTATAGCCAGTCTGTTATTAGGTTGACCGTAACATTGGCCATTCCTTGAAAATATATGTTAATGCTTGTTATAGAACATCATATGGGTGTATCATGATACAAGCTTCATATATGTAGCAATAAATTAAAATCAAAGAGCATGATTTGAACCTTTTATCTTATTAGTAGTATTTTTTCCTTATTAGTATTATTTTTATTCAATGTCCAACTTGAATTTTGATAATACAGACTAGTTGAAAAATATTTAATCGGTTAAATTGCACACCAAAATGTTTAATGTTTATTGTCATGTAATTTTAGAATTCTAAATGTAACAATTTTGTGGCCAAGATGATGCTTGTAGAGGCATTTTAAAAGTTGATGTTGGAGTTTTGTTTTTGATTTTGTTTTAAAATTCTAAATGTCAAAACTTTGACGCCATGATGCTTAATTGTAGAGGTATTTTAATGGGTAATGTTGAAGTTTTATGTGCGATCATTTTAAAATCGACTATCAAATGCTCACTCAAAATTTTGAATCAATACTTTGAGGAATTTCTATAGATTTAGGCGTGTTTGATGTAGAGTATATTATCACTATTATAAAAAGTATAAATAACTTTGATTTTAAAAAGAGTTTCACTGTAATTAGTGATCCACAATAAAGAATAATGTGATAGAAAATAGGTTACTTTTTACTACGAGTTAATGATCAAGGTAAAATACTGGATATCACACAATTTTTCAATACGGTTGGGCCTTCCAACTGTAGTAAAAAGTGGCTTGGTCATAGTTTTCATTCCCTTTAATTTTTTTATAAATATGGGTGCATGAACTTTTCCTCACAGTTGTTATGATTATCTGAAGAGAAAGGTGTGTTGGGGACAATATTTCACCATTGTTGAATGGTTGGAAAACCCAATCGTGATGAATTCCATTATTTATATATGTTGCTCTTTTATTTGTCATATGCAAGTATACATGTATGTTTTAAATGCATCAAGTGATAAAATTAAGAATGTCATACCCTTACGGAGTGAAATTATTACTTAGATTGATTTTGCTAAAAACTATATATTGAGATTAAGCATGAGCATAGAGAGAAATAATAATTGATTATCACAAGTTCAATTTTCACATAAAACAGATCTAAGACAATGTAAGGTGAGAGTGGAAATATATAAAGAGTGAATGTGTTGGGCTATGATCCATTAATATTGTTGATTTAAATATATGTTCATGATGTGTTGTGTCATGCCAGACAAGGTCAGAGTGATCTTGTGATGTATTTATACAACATCAAAGCCTACATAAAAGGACAAGGGAACAAACCTTTAAGTCTCACTTATAACCCTATCATACATATTTTGTATTATGAATTCCTTAACAGTTTTATTTCTTTATCTATAAGTGAACTAAGTGAATAAATATCTCTATCATACTCGTTCCAACTATGTTTATTATGAAATCAACTTGTTCTTGGATCTCTCACAATAATAAGCTTTTATCTTTCTCTAAGTTGATCAGTCAAAGAAGAATATTTTTAAAAAAAATTATCACATGATAAAACAAGGCACTAAACAACACATCATTTAACAAAAAATAATTTATATTAACTTCACAAAGCTCAACTGCAAGAGGTTTAACTCATTATGAATTGAGTACAAACTACAAGCATGGTTCTCAAAGGATACATTCTTAGACAAATAATGAGAAATAAATATAAACCTCAGAGTAACTTGAAGACTCCCTGAAGTGGATAATTGACAAGGTATGACTCCAGTCGCGCCAGAACTCGGCAATTGGTACATGATTAGGTGAAAAGAAGAAAACTCTCTTTTCTCCCCAATATCCTAACCTATTATATTATGTATATTCTTGGAATTGCTGAACTCTTTTCATTCTTATAAAGGTCCTATATAGAAGTCTTCACTAGGGTTTCTTATGATGTCTTGAATCATGGACCCAATATAAGGAAATCACATCAAACCCATTTATCAATCAACGCCATCACCTAATTTCTTCTGCTTAGCCAACTAGGAATCAGGTAAAAGGGAAAATTTGTGGGGGACAAATCGTCCTGTGGCAGACTACAATAGTAGTGGTGCATACGGTGCATCAAAATGCACATAATACTATTGTATTATATTTTGTCTTCTAGTGCCTTCAAGCATTTTCCACTTGTTCAAAAGATTTTTTTAAGCACAATAAAGATATCCTTCATTGCAACCATTCTTCCACGTTTTTCCTAGAAACCCAGCTGACTTCACCATTTTTCTCTCTTAGCTAAGTTCAACTTTTGCTTAAGTTTATGCTCACTGATACTGACCACTATAGTCTTGCATCATCTTGACAGAGTTAACCTTAAATCAAGCACAAACGCATCAAAACAACAAAAGGGAGCATCTATTATGCTCCAAGCTAATTACTATAAAAATAACTAAAATGAAACAAATCAATAATAAAAAAAGAAAATTATCTACTTATTAAGGAAATCTTAAGGTAATTATTAACTCACAACATGTGGGTTAACATACCCCAAACTTGAATCATTACATGTCCCCAGGCGGTGCTACATGAAAGGATAGAGAAAACCTTCCAAGTAACCATCCTTTCAAACAACACTAACTCACTAATAACTCATAAATAATCTCAAGGGACTTGTTTCAAAAATTGGTACCATTCAACCCTGAAGTTTAATCACAAGTGTGTGTGTGTGTGTGTGTGTGTGTGTGTGTGTGTGTGTGTGTGTGTGTGTGTGTGTGTGTGTGTGTGTGTGTGTGTGTGTGTGTGTGTGCGTGCTATTTATATCACCTATGCACCTTGTCACACTAGAAATCTTCATTCATGATAGCCAGCCTAAGTTTAACTTTGGTTACCTTATCCTATGGTCCAAGGTTTCATATTTCATCTTTAGGAGGGCGGTCTTGCCTTTCTATTTTCATAGTTTTGTACCTAGTAACACACATGCATTTTTTAAAATAAAATTTATAGATGCCCCACGTTTTCACCTGATGGGATCTCACTTCTAATGACTCCAACTTTTTACTAATGATGAAGATAACTATTGTTCCTCCAGATTCGGGCAGATGAACTGTACCTCCCAACTCGGGAACATAAACTTATTAAAAAGATTTTCTCCTCCAATTCGGGAATAAGAGCTTACTATGAAGTGCATTTTGGCTTACTTCATTTACACACTTTGGTGTGTTTATTAACATATGTAGTATGTCTAATGTACTAAGTCTTAAACATAAGTGTTAACCTCCCCTCAAACTTGTCAAAAGTTGCCTACTTTTTTTATTACTAGAGGTGCGACATGGGTTATCAGTAACACAAGAAGGTGCAATTGATCAACATTAAGACTTTGTTTCCAATATTGTCATTGTCCCAATAGGTTTTTCCTAAGTCTTCTAGAGTTGTCTGTCTTATGGGGGTTACAGTTAGTTTGTTTCTCTGTTTTTATTATATTGTTTTAGCAACTAAGTAACATGAAATAAAAACTAATTAAACCCGAACAGAAATATTTTCATTAATCAGAAAAGAAACGTCTCCAAGCACCCAGACAACAACAAAATATTAAAATTAGAAAATAACAAGAACTTAAACTAAACTTGCTGAAAATATGATTTATGGATTGATGGGTAGGGTCACAACAAAAGCCATCATTCCCCCATACTTAGAGTAAGGACAATGTTCTCACTGTCAATAGATGGAATTGGGCACGCCAGTGTTTGCCTTTTATTACCAACTAGGGTTTTAGCCTGCTTCTCTTTCTCACAGGATCCTTGTTTTTCTTCTTTCTAGCCTCTTTCTAGGTAGACAATAACAGGGTTGTCTTCTTAGTAGTCTTTGATGCCTCATGGACAACTTCTATCGTGGCAGTTGTCTGCACCTTGACTGTCTTGACTAAGACTTTCTTTGGAGGATTTGGGTTGGGGCTTGATTACTGATTTGGCCTAGGCAGGGGGAAACCTTCTTTTGAAGACTTTTTGGTGGTTGATGAGTGTTGACCTTTGCAAGCTTCTTCATCTTCTCAAGAGTGACACTGGGGTCACATCAGTACTCGTCTCTTCTTCAAACAAATCCAATTTTTGTAAGTTGTTAGATGAGTATTTCTCTTCTTCTTCCAAATTCTCATTTTCAACTACTTCCTTTTGAACCTCGGCATTGCACTTATCATTCTCCTTTTTCCCATCCAAATCAACTTCAACCTCTTCTTCAATGTTATCTTTTTGAGATTTGTCCTCCCCGTTAATGTCATTCTTAGTATCGCCATCATTTTCCTACATATCTTCTTCATTGTAAATCTCTATCTCATCATTATTTTCCACTTCCTCCTCTTCAACAGTATTTTCCATAGTATTATTTTCAATAGTTTTCTCAAAGAATAAACCCTTCTTATCCAATAAACCCTTCTTATCCTTAGAATATTAATTCAACAACTACTTCAAAGTTTTGTCATCCTCCTCCTCTTTATTTCATGATTAACCATTAGCTTGCAGGCATGATAGTGCTTGTCAATGACCTTTCTCACTTTTTCCTCATCAATCAAATCATCTAAAAATTTAAACAAACTAGAAATAAAAGTTAAGTTGGGATATCACCCAATAATTCTATTTTATAGTCTTATAGCCTGACTATAACTCATATAAAGAGGATTCATGTAAATACAAATTGATCATTATGTTGCGCAAGGATTCACCAAGATAAGTCTTAACTCTTTGTCCATTCACCTTAAATTCTTCACATGTTATTTCATTCAATAGTTCAACTACCCCATGGGGTAATCTTTAACCAATTTGAAGGGGCCAGACTACCTAGATTTAAGTTTTCCAGGGAAAAGCTTAAGCCTAGAATTGAGCAAAAGAATATGTTGACCTTCTACTAATTCTCTGTTCTGGCATTTCCTGTCATGCCACCTCTTTGTCTTTTCCTTATACAATTCAGGAATTCTCATATGAGAATATCCCATGATCCTCTAGTTCAATGATTTGAAGTATTCTAGCTTGGCCAACATTAGCTAAATTAAAATTTAAAGTCTTAGTAGCCTAGAATGCTTTGTGTTCCA